GCAAAATACATGAAATGTGATGTTGCAGAGCGCTTTGTGTGTGTTTACTGTTGAGTGAAGACATGCTGAGGCTTCTGTTCTCCTTGCAATTGTTATTATGGATACATTTATTTGTAGCAATAATGTGACTAAAACACAAATTGTTCTGCTCACAGAAAAACTTTGCCGTCCATCCATGTAGAATAGTTTGATGTTTTGGCATTAATAATGGGGCAATTTCCAGTACTTGATGTACTTTCTGTCAAATCTTGTGTTTATATGATTCATTAAAAAATTCTCCTACCCAGATTTTGTGTGTTCACGCCGTTGACTCTCAGAGTTGTCTCTATACCTTATTCCATAGAGTATAATTTTGACCTTTTTTTTGTTGTTATTGTTTTTTAAATCTGAAAGTTTTGTAACTCTTGAAAGAAACTGGCGAGTCCTAAGCTCCAAAAACCAAACTAAACCATCAGGCAGATGGCGGGAACAGTAGGAATTGGAAAATAAAGAGCTTGGTATGTTCTAAGAAAAAGAAGGTTATTTTAGAAATCCACAAAAGATCACAAGATCAAGAAATCACAAGAGATAATAAAGGTTCCAATAAAAAAACGCTGATGAATTTTAAAGTATAGTCACATATTCTTTTGGTCAGATTTGGTCAAATCCTGCAAAATAGCACTTGTACAGAAGAACAGTTAACTAAAATATACTGAAATGTATGTGAAGTCAAAATGAAAGACAGAGAGATCCACAAAGAAGCGGTTGTAAAAGCCTCGCAAAATATCATCAAGGAGGAAATCTGCTTTTTTATGTTCGTGGATTCCAGGCTTTAGGCAGTCATTGCCTGCAAACGATTCTTGAGTATCTGCACTTTAGTTGAATTTGCCGTCTGTGTTGACATAGAAAGCTGAAAATATAACAAGTTGTGCCTCTATGTGATGTATAACTTATCACTGTAAGTCGGGCTGCTGTAAATCACAAAAATAAATCACCACTTTACTGAACCGAAGAAAGGGAGTGTTGTTCGTCAAGCAAAACAGCCGAGAAATGAATGTAGGCGGAAGGAAGGCTGCGTGGAAAAAAATAAATCACTGTCATTAGCTCCTCTTCCTGTCCTGAGTAGTGTAAATAGTTTTGTCAGCACCTTTAACACCACTACTGGGACAAAGAAATGACTCGGAAAAGATAAAATTACCCTTTTAATTTTGGCAGCTACTTTTTCTTGACATCGCTGCCAGATGGAGATATGCAGTGAGCGTCTTCTTAAAATGAGTCAACAGTTGGACAGGTTAGAGGCCAGTTTTATAATTATAATTCTCACTGAGGCACGGCTGTCAGAACCTACAGTGTTACATAATGGCATGTTTCAAAACCGTTTGAGGGAAGTTTTCATGTAGTTGCTCTTGAATCTTAATGAGTGGAAATGTGATTTTTTTTTTTTTTTTTAATCTAAAACAAGGATTCCTTGATCAACTGAAAAGTTGGTATTATGTCATGTTAAAATAGAAAGTGCACCCTCTTTCAAGGTTTATCCATCGTCATCAAATTAATCCGACCCTTACTTGGGTCTAAAATAATTTAAGTCCAACCTTAGTAAGTTTAATATTACGTTTATTGAACAACAACAGGTCTGGGGATATTGGGTTTGGTTGATGTTGACTGGACCATTGGATCTCTTTTGATTCTTTTTCTGATGGAGATTTGATGGTTTGCTCAGGACAGTTATCCTGTTGCACAGCCCAATATAGGTCAAGCTTTAGTTGTTGGTCAGATTGGCCAATCACACTGTCTTGCATCCAATCACATTTGGTTAGAGAATACTTTGATAATACAGAAAGGTTCATGGTCCACTCAATGCAAAGCGCCCAGGGTGCAAGACAAGCCCATATCATTATCCCTCCACCACCATGCTTCACAGTTGTTATGAGGAGTTTGTGCTTTGTTTTTTGCCAAATGTTGAATTGTGCACTGTGGCCAGACATCACCACCTTGGTCTTGTCTGTCCAAAGGACATTGTTCTATAAGGTTTGTTCAGATGCAGACTATGCTGTGCTTCCATTTTCTTTTGCTTCTGGCTGCACTTCCAGACAAGCTATACTTTTTTTGGTCTTTTTCTAATTGTACTCAGATTGTAGCTCTTGGGTTTTTAGCTGCTGTTTACCCTCTTAATTACTATGGAAGAAGTAAGGGTGTACATACTTATATATTTTGGCTTAGTTATTGTGTTTTTGTTCAACTGATGTATTTAGCTAATAAGAACAGAATAATAATAATAATAATAATAATAATAATAATAATTATAATAATAATTATAATTATTATTATTATTATTATTATTATCATCATTATTTCCTGATATGTAAAACCTTAGAAGTGAATGAAGATGTACTTTTTTCACAACTGTAACTAAAATTGAGCAGTTTTAAGGATTTTATTGCCATTTAAAATGAAACCTTAAATAGGGAAAATTTAAGCTTTGGTAAATATTTTAGAGGTCACTTCCAGTCAAAGGGTATCTATATCACATATATGCACCAGTGCATTTCTTTACATTCAGAGATTCAGAGCTTTCCTTGCTCTTGATATAGTCTCTATTTGTATCACTTCAGGCTGTTTAGATTTCATTTGGACTTTTTATGTGTCCAGATGCATTTGCTGCTGCAGTGATTCATCTCTCAGCATGGATATATGCATGCTGGACAAATTCAAGCACACGCCCAAAATCCAACTGGAAAATTTAGCGCAGCCCTGATAAAGACCTGTAGACATTTGGTGAATTTCCTTTGCCAGTCTGTTTAAACATATATAATTGAGCTGTTGGGAGATACAGTGCCTGACTTTGTGTTTGCAAAAGCTCTATTAAAACCTCTACTCTACTTGGTGTGATTATGAAAAATGGAGCCCAACAGGGAAATTATGTAAACAGACTGTTTGATTTGAATTGAAGGTCGAGCTGATTTCTGTTGTTTGTGGCCTGACAAATGGCTATTATGTAGCCCTTCTGCTTGTCCAAACATCCCAAGTGCTTTTAGCATTCATGTGTTTTGAAAGACTCTGATTACACCTTCTATAACATCCAGTGCTTCCAATGCGTCAGGAGACAACAGACCCTTTTCATGACTGCAGATTCCAGAGTGAGGTAACTTTTCAAGGATGAAACCTTGGTGCTTTTGATACTTGAGATATTTTGCGAGCAGTTCATTCTAAAGCTGCTTTTGTGCAGAAAGGTTTTCATCACCTCGGTCATGAATAAGGTGAACAACAGATGCATTTGTTGAATTTTAATCTACTAAGTTGCTTTCAATTCTCAAGAATTCTTTTCTTTTTTTCCTCTTCTTTTTTTTTTTTTTTTTTTTTTTTTAGCTTTACAGAGTCAGTTTTAGTCCTCACATCGTTGGAGGTTGATTATTCTGTTGCTAGGAGAAATGAACCAATGATGCAGTTCCCTTATTCTCTACATGTGAGTCCATGCGCCTGTATGACTGGGAAATTACTGCCCAGTTATTTACATCCTCACACTGTCATCTATCTGTACACATTAACACAAGGATCAATCCTGCTCCCCCGCAGCCGTAGTTTACCAAGGCTGCTAATGGGCCTCTATCAAAGCTCAATCATAATGAAACAAAAGGAAATCACATTAGAGCTTCTGTGATTCGGCTAACCAGATTGACACACACAAGGATGATTTCCTAACTGAGATTAATAGTCCCAATCATTCCATTAATATGTATGTTCCGGTGTTGTTATAGATACTAGATTTGCCATGTACGCTGGAAGAGACTGGCGTCAAAGCAGAGGAATGAGGCCAATTATGTACTGTCTGGTTAGCACAAATAGGAAACAAAGCATTACAGGTGCTTGGTTTGTTTCCCTGGAACTGCTCATTAAGATGACGCCAGTGGGGTTATGGTGTGAGGTTAAATAAAGCTGCGGGTGGATCATAGACACTTCACTGAGATCATCCCACTGATCAGCCCACCCACTTTCGTCTTTAAATACCTGTGCCTTTGTTTGAGTGCCATTACATTAACTTTTTATTTTCACCAGATTATGAAAGGTTGAAAAAAATTAATTTCAGTTTTACAAAGTCACAGTTGATGGGCTTAGATGGCTTTTTACTAATAGATGTTTGACATAATTGCTTGAAAACTGATTTGATAGTTGACTGAAAAATTGTAGCTCCAGCTGCAAGGCTTTTTTTTTTTCAGTCTCAATTATTTTCTCCATTACAATTTGCTGTGTTTCATTAAAGAAAACTATAAAAATAAATCAGTTTCCTATAGAGGAAAAATCTCTGGATTGCTCTTTTTATGTAGCTTTTTATTAGAGCTTTGTGTTTTTAAAATCTCAGAAAATATTATTTCTGAGTAGAAGAATTTTTTTTTTCCAACCAAAGAAATAAAAACAGTTTTAGCTTCTCAAATGTGATAATTTGTTGCTTTTTTGGTCTTACATGTTTTTGCCGAGCAAGACAAAACATTTGGTATAACAGCTTCTGTTTGCGTTTCAAGAGCAAAGTAATAATAATTAAGAAAATAACAAGTAAATTAAAGGACATTGAAAGCCACCAAGTCTCAAAGTTTTTATGCTTCCAATAAAACAGCAGATCAAGCGTCAGGATGCTGGCTTATCAAACCCATGACTTTTAATGATACTTTAAACTGAATTACTTTACTTGTACCTTCTGCATTAAGTAAATGCACAACATGCCAGCAAACCCTTTGTGAATTATTTAAGTGTATCTAAGGTCAATTAAACCATGTTTTTATGATGGTTTTAAATCCACACAGTACAAAATGTACTGCACAGCTCTGCAACTGTGAGCCACAGAACATGTTCCACAGTTCCTTAATATAGTAACTGAGGCCGCATTTGCTATTCAGTAATCAAAATTTTATCATGTCAGAATTTCTAATACGTTTTTAGTAAACAGTAAGTAGGGTCAGTTGACAGCTGCTCCTCTGAGCTCTTTAATTTCCTGCCTAATAGCCACTTCAAACAGAATACATACTCACCCTGTATCGCGCCGAGCGAACACAATGCTCCAGCATTAAACGGGCATGTGGCCAAGTGTTTGATAGGTTGTTTTTCTTTGACTTCGTCTTCAGTTTGGCAGAGTTGGCTCTGTAGATCTTCCCTTTGACTGTTTGCCTCACACTTTCTCTTGTTGGCTTTCTCTTCCCCTCTCCTGTTCTCTCTCGTTGACTTTTTTCCTCTGTGCTCTTCTCTCCAACGAGGTGAAAAACACATTTGCCAAATATAGGTAGGTCATCACACTGTCTCGCATCCTCATCAGTTGCTAAGTACAAAGCACTTCGATGCAAACAGACCGGTCAGCATCATCGGTGCAGTAGGCTCTAGCTCCTCAATATTCCAGCTTCGTTCTGAGAAAAGATGGTAAATGCAACAGCTGTTTGGCGTCAACGTCCATGTGACAAAACTGCTGAGGTGCCTCGATGCTGTTCAGACATTTTTCACAGAGAATGACTGAAAAAGAGCTCCTCGTTATCACGAACAATGATCAGCCGAAGGTCTCTCCGAAGAGTCTTCTCTTTCACTGAAGATGAACTCGTGAGCTCGAAAATCTTCTGAAAAATCAAAGGTAATTTCTCAGCTCCTCACACTTTCTGCAAAGTTATAGCAACTCCACTGGCAATGGAAGTAAGTAAAGCTTCTTCAGTGCTCAGGGCTGCGCAGACAGACTTTTTCCCTCCCAACAGTCTCCTGCTTGCTGCTTCTGAAAACCCTGCTTGGATGCAGGCTGCGCTGTCATCCTCTCTGACACGCAGATTCAGCCGTGAGCAACTACTAGGAAAAATTCCCGCATAGGTTGAAGCCTCCTGTATCAGAGAACTAGGCAATATGTAAGACAAGGGAGGAGGAGGTGAGGAGGTGGAAGAGGTGGAGTAGTAGGATGAAACATAGGGGGAGGAGCCAGAGGAGGAGCTCACATGTCTCAGTAGCAGTTCAGCATAAGCTGAATGTTTGCCTTTGCAATGGCAGACCTGTATGTCTTCATCACAGAGAAATGGCTCGCTTCTCAATCAGCTACACATGTCCCACTTCACGATGGTGTTTGGTAGTCCTGAAAGCCTTTTGACCATGCGCCTCTTGTAGGATTTTTAAATTGCTTTCTCTGTTTGTTTTGTGGGTTTTTTGGAATGAGCTTCCTTTTGCAGATAAGGTTCTTGCTGTAGTTACAAAGTAAAGAGTGCAAACATTGTTTCCTTCTCAAGGAAATGTTTTTTTGTTTTGTTTTTTGAGATGAAAGTCAACTTGCTTAGAGTCTCACTCTATCCTCTGCGAGCCATGGATTAAATCTGAGTAAAAGTTCAACAAAATCTTTTTTACATTTATTGTGACTAAGAAAATGATTATATGTGGATCTAAATAACATTTCTCTTATTTCATGGTATGCTACGAATCATCTCCTTATCAATCAAAATCAAACATAAATAATACTGATTCAGTAACAGCAACATTTTTAAATAGACAGGCAGTTATAAAGATTCTAGGTTTTTTTTTCAATAACTGCTTAACAAGATTTAGGTCAGTGTTTTTGGCTTAAATTTTGGTTGTGGCTGAAATCTACCTTTTTAGTCTGTTGTTGATAAGGCCATGCAGAAATATCTGTTTGCTGCATTGATTCCCAAGCAGCTCTTCATATTAGTAAGCAGGGCCCACTTAAAAGGGGAGAACTTCTGTGTCTGCTGCTGACATAATGAAACAAACACATTGATGTAAATTGTATCGCATGTTGTCAGCACCAGTCACGCGTGTAACAAGTTGAAGCAACATACTAGTGAACAACAAGGATCTTTGTGGTACTAGATGTTATTTGTGCTGTATTTCCGTGTCAGGGTTACAAAGTCAGCTATATACCTGGATTTAGAGTTTGGAGGAGGGACAAAGAGTTGCCCCTTATCTTCAGTATCTATGTACACAGGCTCTGAAGTTGCACTCTGACTTTTTAGAGCTAGGAACAATCACAGTGCAACTGTTATAACAGCTTAATGCACCAAATGACACAGATGCAGATCTTCTCATCATAGCTTTTATCACGCAACCGTTTCTGTTGCCAATGTCAACAAATAATACTAGGTCAGATATGACGTATAACCGCTCAGTGTTTTAGTGACGATATCGGCAGTTAAAAAGATACCTCCATGTTTACTTATTGGGAACAGTCCCTTTTATTCTTTTGCGTGTAATCCAGGCTAAATCCCTAAATTCTTTTCATCCCAGACATAAAAACATTTGTAAGTTATTGCCGGATTTGTTTTCAGCAGCACGAATAGGTCCTAGTCGAGCAAGTGGAAATGATATATTTCAGACCTAATTAAAACGAAAAACAAAATTTTGGCATGACGAAGAGTTGCAGAAACTTGGTTGGAACCCTGCTGCTTAATTAAACACTAACTGAAAAAGGACATTACGAACTCTAGAGTTAATACAGTAATGTTTATCCAAGTTGTGGAAAAAATGAAGTCACTTGGTGCATAATAAATTCCCGTGCTGGCATAGATGAATCTTTTTCACAATAAAAACAAAGGAATTAGTTTTGAAAATGATTGCTGAATTATGCTTTTATGAAAATGGAGGCCTTTTTTCCTATTATTCATCACCCTGTTGCCCCAGTCAGCCTCCAGACCCACTCACTGAAAGCGCATATGTCCGGCTTTTTCACAAATCGCATCTTGCTTGAGCAGCTGATTCTTCTGTGATTAAACTGTGTGACTAGAATGGGCTGAAGCTTTTTTCCTTTAATGTGTCTATATCATGCATGTTCCTCTGAACCACCGATTCACTGCCTTGCTATTGATTATCCCAGATATTGAAAATGCACGCATATGGATTCCTCAGTTTCTTCATGTAATGAGGCACACATATACGCTATGATTGCCTAATATCTGTTGATTGGAGACATTGTAGGCTTCCACCTAGACAATTGGTCACTTTGACACCAGAATTATGTCAAGGTACTGTGGACCAACACTTGACAATGGTTATTTTAGGCTTGACTAATAGAAGCCTAATTAATCAGCCATAACTGATGAATTGTGCTTCTTACAGTATTTGAAGATTATCATATACGTTTGTGGAAAAAAGTGAAAAAGAAAATTTAAAAAGGGAGCAAAAGCAGGTTTTTAAAAGTATATTGTGTGTTCCCTTTAGTTTGTTTAATGTTTACTTTGTACTTGAGATGAGCTCCCTCAAGATGAAATGACTTGTGTAACCTGTATAGGGCTTATGTAGCACCTCTCAACTCGCCTAACTGTCTTTCTGTTGCACCTGTTCACACAGTACTTCATGCATCAGCGGCACTGAAACTCCCACAAGGTTCTTGGTTGTCATTTGGAGCAACTTCGGGCTCATTCTCATGCCACAGGATAAAAGCCGATGCAACGATTAGATGACAGTTCATTCTTTCAGTGTTTGTGGTGTATTTTATATTTGTGCCCAGTCACGGTGTGCCAGTGATTTATACTGAGACTAAGTTAATTGTGCTTGAGGTAAACGGACCAAGGAAAAAAGTCCACCTTCCTGGAAGCCTTTGCAGATAACTTAAACTGAACTCCAGAATATTGTTATCCTTTGCTGCTAATGTTTACTCTGTATGTTACAAAGCCCAAGAACCCAATCCAGTTGACTGAACAACCATAGACGTTTAATTGCTGATCTGACTATGTAGGACCTTTGCAGCTTTTTTGGGAAATGCTTAAAGATCAAGGCTGTATTGCATGTATGAAGCTTTCTCATGTCCTTGTAGAGAAAACTTCTCTATTTTCTCGGTAAGTTAATGTATTAACAACCGTGTTACCTGTGGACAGCATCTGAAGCTGTCAAAATATTGATTTATAGGTTGACTATAGATTTTTGCCCTCACATGACATATAAGAGTGGCAGAATAACATTGTAAAATAACCTTTAACTCCCCCAAATCAAGCTAGTTATTTTAAAGCCAGTGTGGTTTCAAAAGTAAAAAGCAAATTAGTCATTTAATGGTGCGATTCAGTTTCAATTAAAGATAATTGCTTGATGTGCTTCACACCTCCCACACTGTGTTGCTTATCTTGTGGTAAATAACATGAGCGGCGGTGATAATATTTGGCATATAAAGCTTTCCATTAGATGCATAGCTTCCAAACATGTCTGGTTGTTTGGAAGCTATGCATTTTTACAGTTAATGTCAGCTCAACCCGCTCATTAGCTGTGGCCAACCAACTGTTGCATTTGTTACCGGTCAAATTGGTTGTTGTTCAAGCAAAAACCAATCTGTGTGCAACCAGTTCTCTGGAAGCAAACATCAGCTACAACTGCTTAGTTCAGATGTAGTCTTCCCCCAGAGTGAATAATGTATAAAACAAAATTATGCGATGAGTCATTTTAAATGAGCTTTCTAAATACTACCCCCCTAAGGAAAACTTATTGCTCTCATTTCTCTGAAGCCCTGAAGAGCTGACCTTTGCATATGAATCTCAGTCTGAAATGGAGGTAACAAGAACAAGATGCTCTTTAATGGAGAGTAGTAGTTGTTAAATGGTATGGTTAATATATGAAACATATTTTTACTACACAGGTTATTCTTGTAATAAATCAACAGAAAGATAAAGTCTTATGTAAAAGCTGTTTACTTGGCTACTAATTAATTGATTCTGACCTCCTTACCTTTCTGTGACCACCTGGTCGTATTGTGCCATGTGGGTGTGTAGATAGAGACGTCAATAGCTAATGCATTTATACTAATGCATGACAAGCTACAAATAATCAATATGAAATGGTTTTTCACCGCTGCACTGAGTAGACTTTGACCTCTTAATTGATATCTTCCTATAATGGTCTTCAGTGGAAGATGTCTAGCAGTGACTGTGACTTTTGTTAATGTGAGGCTTTTCTCGTGTGATGTTACCTTCCTGTAGAGCTGGTCTCTCAAGGTCTTGATTTCCATGATGAAACCACTCTGCATGTGTAATCCGAGAGGCCTTTATCTCCTCCACGTTTTTGATTTGATCACTTCTGAATAAAGCGGTTGAGGCCAAAATTATTATTAAGGCTCAAAGTTTTGAATGTTTCAATATGGATTAACCCAGAAACATGGCTGTTTAAGTCGAATCCCTTAGTGGTGAAGTAATAGAACTAAATTGTCGCAAAGTCCAGTTGTGCTAACGTAATCATGTATTTAAGAGCCAGACGCTGCCCTGGTAAGCTTCAAAGTATTTAACCAGCACTGCAGTCTTGTACAGTGTTTTCTTCAGGAGGCATTCAACAGCTGGCAATGTTGGCCCTTTAGCTTAGCTTCTGCAATGAAGTTGAAGGTAGAAGTCTTTATGTACAAACTTTTATCCAATGAAATGAGAACTGTAAGCCATTCTCTGTGCACTTTTTGTTGTTGTAATGTTATAGATGATTTTTCTCCTTGCTTGTGGCAAGTTCTCATGTCGCCGCACTGTTCAAGGCAGCTTTTCAACCAAGCAGCATTTTACTTATGGGTGTGTCTTTGCTGTCTGACTATACCCTGTTTGCTTTTTTTGGATGAGTGCATGCAGGTGAATCTCTATAGCTTATGCATATGTTAGGTCCCTCTGTGTTGCTAAAGACATATACAAAAAGGCACCAAGGTGTGACCACAGATAGATTGGCTAGTAGAATTATTTGCTGAATCATTACAATTTTGACAAAATGTAATCTTCGTTTTTTCGCCTTAGTGTGACCAAGTGTAGACACTACGCTACAGGAGAACACTAAACTACAAATACATGACTTGGATATTCCCACTAGACTGAAAATTAGTATAATAAAAGCACCACGGTAGGGCTGTTCGATATAACGATATATATCGGATGACGATATAAAAACGTCTATGGTTTCATTTTATGCTATCGTTTGTTTTGTGGTGTCGCAAAATAAAGTGTTTACGGCAATATTTTTTCATCGTTTTGATGGTCACTGTAGTGGCTATATTAATTTCTTAAAGTTCTGTCTTTATCTTATATTTTACATAACCACACTAGGGACGGACAAGCACCTGTTTTTATGCGTTGTTGTTAGCAACAAACCTTTCACAATAAAGCTCAAGATCCTGTTGAGACTTTTGAAAATAAACTGAATCACATGAAAGAGCAGATTATTTACAGATGAGAAGTAAAAAAGAGCCGCCAGGTGCTAAAAAAGAAACC